TATTGCCTGGAATATTTTACATATACAATAAATGAAAAAAATTTTAATGCATGGAAAGGCAAGAACAGAATGGAGAAGACTTAGAAGACTTGAAAACCTTTTTCTTATCTTTTTATAAGGCAAATTTATTTATTTGTCATTGTTACCTATTTAATGATATTGAATTGATAATTTTTAGTAGTATTTCTTAATCAGCTTTTCAGTATTTTGAATGATAACTTACTTTAACCTGTATCTATTTTTTTGGTATTTGAAAAAGCAAGAGAACATCAATTAATATAATTTTCTGAAATATGTGGTTATCTATTAACATGTATAATTACATTTGTTCAAACTCTATAGTGCTTTTCATTTTAATTAAGTTTAGTTGAATGGCTGGTCAAGGTGATATGATTTTCCCCCTTTTCAGGTGTGATTGGTGTGGGCTACTACTGTACCCAGAGGGGCTTCTCAGAGGAAGTGAGAGATTCAGTGATGAAACTGGTGCCCCTGACACGCCAACTATGGCAGATGACCAAGCTGAAAATGCTTCCTACCCCTGCAAAATTTCATTATGTGTTTAACCTTCGAGATCTTTCTAGGATCTGGCAGGGAATGCTAAACACTACTTCAGAGGTCATCAAGGATCCAGATGTAAGTGATACCCAAGAGAGAAAAACAAGCAACATTGCTATTAATCATATCTCCTAAATATTTTTATTAATTTAATTTTTACTTGAATTATAAAAATATTTTGGGATGTTTCAGTATGGATATTCTTTTGTTTGCTGCTTTTCAACTAACATAAGTAAGAAAAAAAGTGAATATGTCAGGAAACTTCAATTAAAAATTCTAATTAAATTGGGTTTATGTTTAAGGAAATAGTATACACAATTATTTTCTAATGACTAGAATAAAAGAAACAAATAATTTTATTTTTTCATCATAAGATGGAAAAATAGCGATGGTTAAATAATGGAAACAATCACTATTGATTTTATTATATAATAGTCTTCATATTTTAAACTTGACATTTTACTTAAAAAGCAATTACCTTTATAAATAAACATTTACAATGAAAAGAAACTGTTTTGTTGTTAATCACCCATGATCTTTCCTGTCTATGTAACTAGATGAACTAAAAGAATTGTGTTTGTTGGTAAATCGAAAGAGGCAGCAGAGTAGAAAGTTTATTTAATAGAAAAACAAGCATTTGCTTGTACACTTGAACGTGACAGTTCCCAGTGTTATGAGAATTCCCTTCAAACTATGAACGTTATGTAAAAATCCAGTATGTTTTTTTGTTTTTTCTTCCCAAAAGCATATGTTCTGTTCTCAGGCTAAGGTGGGATTGGCCTCTCTCTTTCAGCCCTTCAGGAGCTGAGGAGATAATTAAACAAATAAGTTTTAGGGGACTTTTCTATCTAAACTCACAGAGACAGTTGAAATATCAACAAAATTGTCATTGAGAACATCGAGTGTTGACTACCAAAAAAACCTGAGCTCTTCCCCAAATGCTTGCAAATAGATAACCGTAGTTGCTGACTCTTGAAGAGTAAACATTTTGGGGAAAACTCACTGTCCTTATTACAGTGAACTGAGAGTCAATTTAGCAGCAGTGAACATTTTAACTTGATTTTTCTCTCGAAGTTATTGACAAATTAAAGGAATTATGAAATGCAGATCTTAAATATTACTCTTTATTTGAGTAGCCATGTTTAGTGCTTATATTAAGTCAGCATAAACAATTGTAGCAACTGGCTTTATCATGAACTTTTGTCTTAACTGAGTCATTGAATGTATTTTACTAAGTTCCTTTTATATTCTGGCAGCCAAATATCATTTTATCATTAGTTATACAATTACTTAAAAACCTTCTAACCTGCAAAATGTTACCAAGTTAAGAAATTTCCACCAGTCTTTCAGACTAAATAATGAGCTTAAACAAATATTTCTTATTTTTGCTATAGAAACAGGAGGATTGAGCAATTAATTTCCTAAACTTTCAGTTAACTTTGGGCCCTGGGTTATCTGGACTAGGTGATTGCTTGGTTCAGATAACCCAGATTTTTGCCACAAATTTCTTTCACTTTGTATTAAGTAAATATACCTGTGTGATATCTCATTGTATACGTGATGGTGGTTCATACACTGTATTTTATTTTTGCTCTGGCCACATGAATGTAGATGTCATCCAAAAAGACTAATTTATTACAAATTTAAGACCGTTACATAGAATATTAGATTGTTGCTTGATCAGAGAAATTTTTGTTGAGTTGGGGTTTTTTTTTGTTTGCTTTTTTAAATTCAGAGACTGCCAATGAATAAATTACACTTTCTATTTATGTGACCAATTTTAAGTGAAGATGAGCATATTTTAACCTGAACTTTTTAAAGTATTACATCTTAAATCAGGAAGGATGATACTCTGCAATGTTGTTAACTTGAGTTCCCATTTATGGCATAGTAGAAATTAACAATGCATTTTAATTATGCTTTCAACAGGAACTGTTAAAATTGTGGAAGCATGAATGCAAACGTGCTATAGCTGATCGTTTTACGGTGTCTGATGACGTGACTTGGTTTGATAAAGCTTTAGTAAGTCTGGTAGAGGAAGAGTTTGGTGAAGAGAAAAAACTCTTGGTGGATTGTGGAATTGATGCTTATTTTGTGGACTTTTTGAGGGATGCACCGGAAGCTACAGGTAAATTACTGAAACGGAATTTGAAATTCCCCAAAAGGAATTTCCAAAAGAGGGATCTGAAAATAAAATATTCAGTTTAGGGATGTTGAGTTTCTGTCTAGTTAACTTTAGTGAAACAAGCCTGGGGCATAATAGGTGCTCAGTAAATATAGAATGAGAGGATAAATGCATAATCATGGAGTTTAAAGATTAGCTATTTTTATGCATTTCACACTTGAATATCAAGGTAGAGTAGGGAGGCAGGATCAAGTAGAAATAAGCACAGAGGATTTGTATTGTGTCAGATAGGAGAGATTTGACAGGGTGTACCAAACATTAGACGGGTGTCTCTGAACTTTCTTGAACCTTACTCTCCTTATTTATAAAAATGAAAATATTAATATATTCATCATGGTTACTGTGGGAAATAGGTGAAATGATATCAATAGAATGGTTTGGGCAGTCTCTGACACATAGTCACTGCCACCTGAAAGGTAGCAAAAATAACGGTAACTATTATTATTCAGGTCATCCTGAATGTTGAAAATGAAAAGAAAAACTTCAAATTATATGACAGAGCCATTGAGTATAATTGGAAAGAGATGGGTCATGTGGAGGCATGCTTTTGTGGTTATTGTTCTGTGAAAAGTTGAGATATATTAATTTGCTTATGAAAAAAGGCAGTGCTTCATTTTTTTTCCATCAGAAATAACTGGGCTTAAGTAGAACATTTTTCTTTCATTTAATAACCTCTTCTAATAGTGAGGATGGATTTTAAGTTAATTTGCATATTTTAAAAGATATGTTAAAAACATATTTATATCTTCTAAATGATTGGAAAAGACCTCCACTAGATTTGATAACGATATGTGTGATCTATAAAAAGTTTCTAAGTGACAATTGCAAAAAGGATGTTTATTGCTGGCTTTGCAGTTGGAGTGATCCTTCCACAGAAAGAAGCTGACACATCTTATTTTAAGTTAGGTCAAACACACGAATAAGGGTAAGGGCATTTTAAAAGGTAATTAGAATTTGTGCATTTTATTTCCTCTAATTCAAAATTAGAGGAAATCATAATCATTGGATTATGCTTTTCCCGGAACAAAGCTCAACTACTGCATTTTTGGGGTGGGGAAGATCTAGAAGCAAAGGCGTAGCATTTTGATTTCAAAGCACTTTTTCTCAAAGCTTGATGTGAGCTTTTAGAAAAGAGTTGTGACTATCGAAATTTGATTGGTGAGAGCTTTGCAAATAGGCCAATCATAATGATTATGGTAAAACAATTTCCTTGCTTTCTCATAAAGAGGTTAACATACTTTTATATTAGGACAGGGTTAATTGACAATAATTAAGTACTGTAAGATTTGGAAGACCCACTCACTTTTTTAGAACCCAGAGAATTTCCAAGTTGTTATTGGTATATTTAATGAATGTGTCACTATTTTTCCCTGTTACTAATGTTAACTGATAGTGAATTTATATATGCCTAATTTGGCTTTTTTTTTTTGCATTATGCTTTATAGTCAACATTGGAAAAGTGTTAAGCTGGTGTATTATGTGTTCCTAATTTTTAAAAACTATATTGACTTTAATACATCTTTTCCTAGTGAAATAATTTAATTATTTTCTATTTTTCCTCAACACTCCACCCTCATTCCCTGTATTAGTCCATTTCTGTTGTCTATACCAAAATACATGGAACTGGGTAATTTAGAAAGAAAACAAAATTTATTGCTTACAGTTTCTAAGGCTAGGAAGTCCAAAATCCAGGGAACACAGCTGGTGAAGGTCTTGGTGGTGGTGACAATGACGGCAGGGTATCGCATTGTGAAAATGGCAGAACAGAGAGATCAGAGAGAGACAGACTCTCCTGTCTCTTCTTTTAAAGCCCTCAGAACCACACCCCTGACCACCATTTTTAATCCACTCACTACGGCACGGTCCTACAATCTAATAACCTTTTCAAAGCTCCACCTTTCAATTACCATAACAAGATTTCCCATCCTCTTAACAGTCACAGTGGGGACCAAGTTTCTAATACATAAAACTTGGGGGACTCAATTCAAGCTTCAGTGAGTTTTGGGGAGACATAATTCAATCCACTACATTCCCTAAAACTCATTTGTATTCTCACCACTAACCTGAAATTCCTGAATCATAAACATTTCTTGAGCAAATGCAATGACTTTTTAAAAATCTTATTAGAAAATTATGTAATTCTTTACCTCTCTTGTTAAGTTTGATATTAGATAACTAGTTTTTTTTTTCACTTTCATTCTGACCATTAGGCTAATATCTCTGGAAGGATCTTTGAAAAGCTGACAGTCAATTGTGGGTTCAAATTAAATTCAATGAATACAACATTATTTGAATTTGGCTCTTTATAGATAGGAAAGAACTAAGACTGCATATGATCACAAAAATCCTAATGCTTCTACTATTGTTTGCTTTCTTCTTTTTTCTAAAAATGCATCATATGGCATTTTGATGAAAATCAGTATTATTCAGTGTTAAATTATAGAGCTATGAGTGTATTAATCTAGATTGAAGAAAGTAGTGAAGTCCAGCAATTTGAAGACACTTAATTCATTCCTCTTCCCCATCAAAGGTGAAACATCTGAGGAGGCTGATGTTGAAATGCCCAAAATTTATGAGCCCATCGAATCTTTTAATCACCTAAAAGAGCGTTTGAATATGTTCCTGCAGCTCTATAATGAGAACATCCGCGGCACTGGCATGGAAATGGTGTTCTTCACAGACGCGATGGTTCACTTGGTCAAGGTACAGTAGCCACACTGAGTAGCACCTTGCCAAAGTGATAGACACTTGGCTTCACACCAACACCAGAACCCTCCCCCATTTTCACTTTCATCCCCCTAGGAGAATCTTCAGTTTAAAAATAAACTCATTGCTGTATTCCAATTTAATTTCTAAACTAAACACAGCATGTCATGCCTTAGAGGCTTAAAATAAGAGCATGTGTATTTCAAATGTGTGATGTGATAATTTTATTCGATGTTGCTGATATACAACTTTACGGTCAATGCTTTCACCACATAGGATGAATATGGTTGTCCTCTGTGTTCAGAGCACAGGCAAAGTCTGCTTATTTTTGTATCATACAGTGAATATCACAATAAAAAATAATGCATAACACTTGAGGACTGTATATGAAATAAGCTGGACACAAAAGGACAAATACTGTATGATTCCATGCATACGAGGTCCCTAGAGTAGTGAAAATCACAGACAGAAAGTAGAGTGGGAGTTGCCAGGGGCCGGTGGAGTTGGTGTTTAATGGGTTCAGAGCTTTAGTTTTGCAAGATGAAAAGAGTTTTGGAGGTGGATGGTGATGATGGTTGCATACCAATGTGAATATACTTAATGCTCTTGAACTATACATTTAAAAATGGTTACAGTGGTAAATTTTATGTTATGTGCATTTTACCACAATTAAAAATAATAATTTAAAAACAGTGCATATACAATTGACTTTGAGCAGGTCAAAATTCTGTTAGAATGAAATCCATCCAGAAAGTAGGTTCCATTCTACCTTGTTATATGAATCATTACAGTATTCATTTTTAAGAGAGTTTGTCAAAGATCAAAAGTAAAACATATTATTCTACTTGAAAACTTAAGTGACCTAATTTGTCTATAGTGCGAGATAATGCCACTTAAAATCTGTTGATATTCCACTTTGTTGATATCTACCACTTTCTCAGACTACATCCTTTCAGTTAGAAAGAAGACAATTCGAGGCTGTCTTCCATTATTTAGATTTAACCATGAGGAATGATCTCATAATTACAAATTGTTGAATAATTACTGGATCTTAGAAATGAAGAGGGTTGAAGAGGTTATCTAGCCAACTCTTCCTCTGAAAATGGGGATTGCACACCTTGCCTTCTCCCTGCAAGAAGCTGAGGAGAACATTTCTGCAAGGCTGGAAGGAAGATGGGGCTGTTCTGGGGTTGGATCTCCCCAGCAGGAAGGCACTTAGCTCGGTAACTCTGTGAATTCTCAGAATCTGAGACATCTGTACTGAATTATAAGCCCAAATGTTCCTCCAAAGTTAAGTATAAGGAATGTTTTGAAATTAGCTCCTAATTTACAGTTGATTAAAAGTTAATTAAGTGTTTCAGGAAGAATAGACATTCTGTCATTTGTAGTCATTAAAAGGAAGAAAAAAATGAATTTTTTCTGTCCTACCAGGCAGTAACCAAAGGCAACTTCATGACAAAGTGTCTATTGGAGACAAAATCTGATTGGCCTGGAATTTAATAACAACTCAAATTGAGGAGGAGGTTATTTATGTTAGTCTTATGTTCATGCAAGTTTGCTAGAACAGTCTTTTTTCCTGTGTTTTGGAGCATAGACAAGAGCCATAAGCCTTTCTTTGCTTTAGTGGGGTGTGGAGGCCTAGGTGCCTTAGTGCAGGGTTCTTGCCAGTGTCTGCTCTCGCTCTCAGCCTCTAGCCTCTCTGCTCTGGAATTGGCCAAAGAATCTGTGACTGGAGTTTTTGGACTAAACTGCTACATTCCTCTCCATCTTCTAGGCCAACCCTCTCTTCTACACTCTTGTTTTCTGTGCACCGTATACCCAGACTCTGTGTCATGCAGCATAAGCGTGATGTTGTGACCTAGTTATAGGACATCATAGAGGCCAATAGACAGAAGTAGAGGCAAAAACTGCAGCCAAAAAAGGTGTGATATGAAACCCAGCATATTTCTTAGTTCCTTTCTTAATTAAAATAACAATTTTCTCTTAACACAGAGATGGCTTTGTGGCATCTCTTTTGGCTTTTTTGCAAATGTTCAAACTATGGAGTATGTGGTTGTCACGATCTAGCCCCAGCTTACCACCCAGCCTTGTGGGTCATGCTCTGCTGGTATATAATACAGACAGGTGAATTGCTGATGGCTAAACACATCCTGATCCCTGAGCACCTCCCCAGTATGCATTCCCAGCCCGTACTGCATATGTAGAGTTTACCTGTGTATGTGTCTGTCTCTCCTACCAGACAGTAAGCTCTGTGGGGCTGGCTCCCTGTCCTAGTCACCACTGTCTCCATAGGAGGAACTACTGCTGAGATGATCACACAGGAGACTCAACAAATTGTCTGGAACTTAAGCAAGTCCCCATTATGGCCCTAAAAACCCTTTGCTGCCTCATCTCCTGCTACTTCCGGACCCCATATTGCATTTCCTACCCTCATGGGGACACATGAGGCCTTTTGCTGACTCTGAGATTTTGTGTGTCCCATTCCTTCTTAAAATGTAACACAACTCCTGCCCAGCACGCCACCTCCTTTGTATGGTGACTGTTGGTCATCTTTCAAGTTCCAGATCCCGTTCTAGTTCCACACCTAAGACTTGCCTCCCCCAGGCAGTGTTGTCACCTTGGCCTTCCTTCCTCTGCCGACATTCCTTGCTCTGTGCCAGCATTAACCATGCATGTTACCCTGGTCTCTTTCCCCTCCTAGAGAGTGAGCACCTGCCAGGCAGCATGATCATTATTAATTTTAAATACTTGCTAATGGGATTAAAAAATAAATGTCTCTGTGTTATAACCCATATGTAACAGGATAAAATAACCCCATTTGAGGGTCTCACTTGACTGTGCTTCCACCTATAATCTGCTTTTTACTAAATTGTGATGTTTTTGAGTCTGTTTTTAAGGCCTTCTATTTGTTCATGTATCTATTCATCTGTCAGATGTTTTGAGGGTTTACCATGTGCCAGAAACTGTGAATAGAACATTTTAGTATAAGACCTCAGCCCCAGTTCCAGATAAAGATGTTGGAATGAACATTTTTTAATATCTAATAAACTAAATTTATATAACCCCTGAGTATATTCATCCACATCAAACAAAAAAAAAATGATTAAGGCTGAGAAGTGGCAACCCAGGAAAGACATGGAAGGTTCTAGAGTAGCTCCTTACCTGCCACGTCTGTGCTTCTTGAAGTCGTACTGGGGACAGATGAAGAGACACGTAACACTCCCTCTACCCACCACAACTTTGGAGACAGTCGCATAGAGGGGATGGGCAGGAGGCTGGGACAACAGGGCTTCACATTAAATTGGAGGAAGTAATTCAAAACCTATAGGTATTCCCAACAGAGATAGAACATGTCCCAAGTACTGGAGGGAATCCTGAGAAAAGATGTTTTACAAAACCTTGGCAGAGTGCAGAGCCCTGGTGACCTTGGGAAGCTTCCCCAGCCACAGAGAAGTGACCCTGTCTCAGCCCCCACCCTGCCCTCTATAATTGTTTAAGAAAAGTGGGTGTCACAGTGATATCCCAGGCTCAAACTGCAGTTAGGAGGGAAAGAGAAATAGTTATTACACAGTATCACATAAAGACATCACATAAGGTGGGGCTGATTGTATAAACAGTTTATTCAACACTAACAAAGTCAAATAAACGTGAGTTTCTTCCACAAGGGGAATTTGGAATGGTCTGGGGCTTCTGACCAGCACAGTGGCCTCCTGACTCACCTGTACTCACAGCTAGGCAGGTACCTCACGTATCACCGTCTTTGCCAAATAATAGGGTGATGTTTATGCTCACTCTCTTCTTTTTTTTTGGAAAAATTTTTTTCATCATCTACACCATATTTTGGGATTTTTCTTTCCTTCCGTTTAAGCTCTCTATCACTTTTCAAATGTGGAGGACATTCTAATCAACTGCATGCTCTGTAGTCTAAGGATAGACATTGTTCTGAAACTTTTGTTCCCTTTCCTATCATACTATGTTAGGTTGGGCAAACTAAAAGGAAACCTCAAAGTCCCCTTCATTTATCTCCTGTAAGCCCCAGGGAAAGTCTGGGCTGTGTGCTGACTTCTCTGCACAGGCATCCCCTAGTTCCTAAAGGAACACCCCACAGTCCCCACCCCACCCCATGCATCCCAGATCCTGCTCTATTCCAGGAATGCCCTCATTCTGCCAACCAGTTTCTCTCTCCAAAACCATTATTTGACCTTATTCTTATATTGAATAAACAGGAAAAAAAA